TGTGTGTGTGTGTGTGTGTGTGTGTGTGTGTGTGTGTGTGTGTGTGTATCTGCCTCCCTAGGGATCACAGGTGCCCACCACTCAGGTCTTCATGCGTGTAATAACAAGCACTTTGCAAACCGAGCCATCTCCCCATCCTCCACCTCGATTCAGAGGATATTTGCTTTTAATGTGTCTGCATCCAGATGTGTATACATGAATGCAGATGCCCTTGGAGCTCAGAGACATTGTATCTCCTAGAACAAGAGTTACAGATGGTTGTGAGCCACCTGACATGGGTGTGGGAACCGAACTTGGCTCCTCTAGAAGAGCAGCAAGTGCCCTTTGCCACTGAGCCATTTCTCCATTCCCTTAGCCTAGGCTGGTCTTGAATTCATGGCTGTCCTTCTACCTCAGCTTCCAGAGTATTGGGATTGCAGGCATGAGGTAGCACGTTGGGTGCCCATCTTGCTGTCTTTGGTGTACAACTTCAGTTTCTTCTTTGCAGAGGCCGAGTGCTGGTAGCTGACAAGAATGCACAAGGAAGTGCGTGAGAGCCCTAGATTCCTAGAGCAGAGGCTTTGAGAGAGGAGGGGAGGGAGGCCTGGGCGTGAACTCAGAGCCTTTGGCAGAGGACATTTTATCAGCTGCGTGGTGAGAACGGAAGAAGAAGCAGGAAGAAGAAGCAGGGGGCAGACCGTCAGACGAGACAGTCCCATCTGCTCTGTATTGGTGCCTAGGATGCATCCCTTCCCAGCCCCTAGGACTGTCCTTGTGGGGTAGGAGCAGGACCAGCAGGAAGTCTGAATCACAGAAGGGGTCTGGTGTTCTAGGACTCATCTTTAGCCACTTGTTCACCTTTCCTTTGGCCTCCAAGACTTTTTTGTGCTGTCCAGTGTGGGCGTTAAGCCCTCTGGCTCAAATCTCTTGCAGAAGTGACAAAGGAAAGGAAAAATCCTGGAGGGCTTTCACCTGTTGGTGGCCTTGGAGGCTAACTACTGCGTGGCATGCAGAGTGGACTTTGGCAGGTGCCTCTATTAGAAGAAGAATCACCGGTTTATAAGGAAGTGGCTGTTGGGGGCTGGTGTACTGTCTCCCGGTTCAGCAGTTGCGGGGTACAGGCAGCCTGGGCGCAGGAGCCAGTGGGCAGCACTCCGGAAGGTGAAATCCTGGTAGGTGGGTCTGGTGTCTCTCTAGGAGGCGTTGGCAGCTCTCTGGCATCCTGCCATGCTCCAGCCTGCCCTCTTGCGGATGAATGGAATCCCTGGCAAGAGAGCTGGAGCTCTGGGATCTTGGAGCCATTCTGTTAACTAAGGGCAGTGGGTAGAGGGTTGGAGTTTGGCTGAGTCTAGAAGCTTAGTCTGGTGGTGCCAGTAGGTGGGCACCAGTTCCCATGTGGCTGTGGCCCAGCTGGCGGGTGCTAGGGAGCCTGCTGTGCTAGGGTTGGGGGGTGCACAGAGGGTGGCTTGAGGAGAGGCCAGGACACGGGGCGGAGATATTAACAGCTGGCTCCGGAGGGGCGGGAGCTCGGGAGGAGGGGCTGTGAGAAGCCGGCTGCTTTTGGAGCTGCTGGCCGCCTGTGGCTCAGGTGACCAGAGGCCCTTGAGCAGCGCACAGAACCCCCAGGGCCTGGCAGGTTGAGCAGCAATGATCCAGAATGTGGGAAACCACTTACGAAGGGTATGGAATGGTGGGCTAGGGTGGACCGGGAACCAAATGTGGCTCTTCCCTTATGTGGGGCCCAGAAAGTAGATGCTTTCGTCTTAAGTCAGGATCTGCGTCTCCAGCCTCACTGTCTGCTGTTCTGTAGTTCTCTCTGGAAGGAGAACTCACAGAACCCACGGACTTCTTAAGTTACAACTGGTAGAGTCGCCAAAGAGCCCTGGGGAGAGCAGGCTCCCTTAGGCTGGCAGTTTAGGGCTGGGTGGAACGGAATCCTCTGTAGCAAGTTCTGGAATTCATCCTGGTGCTCTGTGTGTGTGTGTGTGTGTGTGTGTGTGTGTGTGTGTGTGTGTGTGTGTGTGTGTCCGTCCTGTGTACAGTTTTCTTGCCTTCTGAACTCAGGGCTCGGTGTCTCATGACCTCCTATCTCAGGACTCCAAGTCTACGGACCTGACAGAATTTAGGGTGTGAGGGAGTGTGTGTGCAGACAAGAACAGGAGAGTAAGGACACGACCCTGTGAGGAACAGGCCATGTGGGAAACGTCCTGTGGGGTGACCTTTGGGAATATATTTTCCTGGAACCTCCTAACTGGGACTTTGGAGCAGAGATAGATGCTGAGGTCCCAGAAACACCCAAGCACTCAGCGACTCACTGGGGGCCTTTGGCCTGGTGCCTGGAGAAGGACCCAGGACCGTCTGGACAGCCTGTGCGTGGCACAGTAGGTGCCAAATGAGGACGTTTTAGAAGAGGCCTTTAAAAAGGGGGCCCTGGGGGCAAGTACATGTCTCACCCGCCTCTTTGCCAGCTGCCATTCAGCTCAGCATTCCCAGCCCCGGGGGCTGGTATCTCATCAAGTCCCTTCCATCTGCTCTCACAGCAGAGGGCACCTCTGAAGGTAAGGTAACTGTGGCACCTGCTCACCTGGCTCAGACTTACCTAGCAGGTCACCGTCTTGGTGGCATGCTTGCCCTGGTCTCTCTCCAGGTCCCATCATCCATCCCTCTGTGTTGGTAGTAGCATCATACTAACTGGCCTCCTCTGCCTCGGTGAGCCCCCTAGACTCTCACCAGTTGCTGCACACTCTGTATCTCCCCCCCCCCCCGCAGTGATCTCAGCCTCCCTGTGCCTCCCCTAGCCTGCTGTCTCTCTGGTAGTTTCCGTCTCAGCCCTCAGATTCAGCTGGGATGCTGCCTCCTTCAGAAAGTCTTTCTAGATTTTCCATGACGCCATGTACCCTTTGTGAGCCCTGCTCTCACTGGGATGGGAGCTTGGCTTGTATCTCCATCTCCGTACCCCAGCGAACTTTACAAGCTGTGCTTAGTGTACCTAGGCCTGGCCAGGGGCCAGAGGATACCTAGAGAATGAATGTGGGCATACAGTTCTTCAGCCAGGCCCAGGGTGGAATCTGAGCCACTGGGCCTCTTGCTTTTGTCCCCTGAGCCCCGGGTAGAATGTCCTCAGACTCTGACTTTGCCAGGCGGCATGCTGAGCGCATGCACATTTACTTGCTCTGTTCAGTGAGGCAGGCTTGTTTTACCATCCCCGTGGTGGCTACTCTTCACTGTCAGCTTGGCTGGGCTCAGAATCTGGGGATGTCTGCGAGAGTGTTTCTGTAGAGGTCTAAGTGAAAAGGAAGACCCATCCCGAATGTGGGTGACACAATCCTATGACTGGGGCCCTGACTGAATAAAAGGAGAAAAAGGAGAAAGTATCAGGGTACCAGCACCATCTCTGTGCTCCCTGACTGTGGACACGGTGTGACCAGCTGCCACCATCAGGTCCTTGCCTGATAGACTGTGTTTCCTCAAACTGTGAGCCAGGACGAGCCCTCCCGTCCTTAAGCCCCTCTGTTGGGTATTTGGTTATAGCTGGAAGGAAAGCAACCAATGCTGTCCACCCTGCTGCTCCCTCCCCATCCTCAACCCAGGTAACTCAGGCTCAGAGGGGTCAGCAGCCTGTTAAACAGCCCAGAGGCAGGAAGTGGCAGAGCTGGGATTTGAACTCAGTGGTCCTGGTTCAGAACTTTTCTGAACATGAGCGTAGCATTCCTACCCTGAACCCTGACTCAGCTCGGCTAGCATCTAGCCTCTGGCTATGGATCTGGGTGTTGAGTGTGGAAATTGGGCCACAGGGCCCCAGGAACCTCACATTAGTTAAAATGACATTCCTCGCCACCTTTGAACTTGTGCCTGGTTGGCAGATCTTGAATTTCTGTGGCCTCTTCTTAATTTCTTTTGCTCCTTTGGAAAAAAAGAAGAATTTGGGAACACTTTCTTTTTCTTAGTACTGAGCTATTTTTATTTTTGTATTTGAGACAGGGTCTCATGTAACCCAGGCTCATGCTGGTTTCAAATTTGATGAAGATGTTGCCAAAGATGACCTTGAACTTCTGATCCTCAGTTCTAGCCCAGTCCAGGTCAGCTTCCTATGGGGCTTAGCAGCTGTTTATTTGACCCCATTCTCCTGAGACTCCTAATGGCAAGCTGGAGGAGACCAGAACCAGCGGTGGGCATCTGTGCTCGCTCATAGGCCTGGGTGCTACTGCAGACCTCCATAGGACCCATTGATTCCTTTGAACCCCAGGACACCGGAAGTAGCTTCTCCTTCCTCTCCAGCCTTGTCAGGGGTCTAGACCAGAAAACGTTGAAGTTTGGGAAACAGCCCTTGGATTGAAATCTTGCTTTCTCCCTCCCCCTACTATTTCTTCCTCTTCTTTTTTGTTTTGTTTTGAGATAGTTTCACTATGTAGCTCAGATTGGCCTCCTATTCCTAATCCTCCTGCCTCAGCTTCCTGAGTAATGGGATTACAAGTATGTGCCATCGTGGCAGGCTTGGATTAGAATCTCATTATCAGGTCTGGGAAGTTGGCTCAATGAGTAAAAACGCTTGATGTGCAAACAAGAGGCTATGCATTCAAATCCCAAGCATCTATGCAAAACCTTGGCACAGCTGTGAGAGGCAGGAAGTGGCAAAACTGGGATTTGAACTCAGTGGTCCTGGTTCAGAAATTTTTCTGGACATGAGGCTTAGCATTCCTACCCTGAGCCCTGACTCAACTCGGTTAGCATCTCACCTCTGGCTATAGATCTGGGTGTTGGGTCCCAGCACTGAAGGATAGAAACAGGTCGATCCTGGGAATTAGCTGAAATTCTAGCCTAGCTTAAATCGCCAGCTTCTAGCTTAGTGAGAGATCTTGCCTCAAAGCGATGATGTGGAGAGGACAGGACACTTGACATCACCTCTGACCTCACGCATGTGCACAGACATACATACCTACATGTGCATCACACACACACACACACACACACACACACACGTAGGAAAAAAATCTCATGTTCACCTATTCATGGTGTGACTTTAGGTCAGGTGTTTGTCCCCAAACCCCTGTGTGCTGGGCGATTCTAGAAGTCCCCAACCTTGGGTCTGAAGAGTTGGCATACGCCTCTGATGGTGGTCCTCACCATGTGGCAGCAGAGGGGAGGCCTATAGACAGAAAATGACAATGCCCATCATACAGGAGTGGATGCATCGAGGCTCAACAGTTTGTTCAGGAGCTGCATGTGAACCCCAGACTCGGCCACGGGCTGATGCACAGTGTTCTCGATCTGTCTAGTTGGTTAGTTTTTATCCTTCCAAACACAGCTCAGTCATCACTTCCCCTTTGGCTCCCCATCCCACGTGACCCCAGAGTTAACAATGCCACCTTACAACGCTGCACCCAATTCGCTTGCTCCCTGCATGGGTGTCGACTGAGGGTATGGCAGGTGCACGAGTGTGCTGTGACTTGTGATAGTATGGATCCCAGCTGTTGAGCTAGTAGAGGAGAGATAAAGGCAGGCAAGCCATGGCAATGGACACCTGCCATAAATACTGCGAATGACCGTAATAATGAGTGTCATCTAAGGATTACCTGTGTCTGAGCATGCATGGACTCAGTCCTTATAACTCCGAATACTCTTGTGCCCTCTCTTAAGGATGAAATGGAGACAGAGAGGTTGAATCTCCTTCCCGAGGTCACACAATTGTCAAGGGACGTTGAATGGCTTTAAACTCAGGCTATCTAGAGAGCAAGAACTGAGAGGGTGGGGGTGGGGTCCCGAGCAGGAGGTCTGGAGGCTGAGGAGGTGGGTCTCATCTGGGCAGAGGGAACCCTTCCCTTGCAGGCTTTAAGGCAGGGGAGTGCCAGGCACCTTGAGTTCTGAATGAGGCTTCACTGGTTCAGAGTGCCTGAGCCTGGGAGGAGCAGCTGCCAGCTGGCTGAAGCTGGAGGGAGTACAGTTGGCCTTGGAGTCTGGGCTGGAGTCTGGAGCCTTGTTGGTGTTATCTTTGAGCTTTCTGGGGGTTCTCTGGTCCCCTGCTTTAATTTTTTTTTAAATTATTTTATTTTTGAAACAGGGTCTCACAATGTAGCCTGGGCTGCTCTTGAACTCCCAGAGATCTGCCTGACTCTGCTTCTCCAGTGAGGGGTGGAAGGTATAGACCACCATCCCTGGTGTTTCTTGGCTTAAT